TTGCTACCTTCCCTTTGTTGAGATAGAAAACCCAATGTGTGTTTTGTTTGGGGGCAGGAAGTTCTATCAAGAGCAATTTACATAAGAGAAATAGTATCTAAGTTGAAAAGCAAGAAGTCAAATCACCCATCAGCAGATGACATAGGGTTTTAAAGTTCATTTTTGTTGGACCCATAATTGTATATCTTTATGGGATACAGTAATTTTAAAGGAATATATCAATAATCAAATCAGGGTTATTGGCATTCCCATCTCCTGAAACAGGTGTTGTTTCTTTACGTGTGGAACCTGAATGTCTATTGAGCACCTGCTATTTCCAGGCATGTGGTCTCTGCCAATTGTGTCCACAAAAAACCAAATGATCATCAGAGGCTATAAAAATAATTAAACCTTCACAAATTGTAAAACCAGGAAGAAATGGATAAATTCCTGGACTTGTACAACCTAGAGATATATGCCACCTACAGATATTGAACCATCATTAATAGAAAACCTGTACAGATCACTAATGAGTGAAATTTTTGAATCTGTAGTACAAAGTTTCCTGCAGGTGGGGGCCTTCAGTGTTGCACCCCAAGTGTCAACCTGTATGATCACAATTTGCTGACTCCCAGGAGCAGGGCATTTCTGGACTCACTGAATGCTCCAAGAGACTTACCCCTGCCCTGGTATCATAAGGAGCTTAGAAAATGTGGAATATATTCTCAATAGCTGATGTGGAATTGATATGGATTTGATATGGAGATGATCTTGTTGTACCAGGTACTTCCTGTGAGCTCTAAAACATAGCTTGCTTCTCATATCAACTTCATACAGTAGGTGGGATCTTCAGGTACTTGTAAGCTACTATATGCAGATACTCAGGTACCAAATCCAACATTTGATACCTAAGGTCAGAACTGAGGTGGATGGAGGATTCAGAAAACCTCAATACACTTACACTGGATTTTTACACTGGACCACAGCTGTAATACTCCAAAAGGAGACCATTTACAATGACCTACAACATCAGTATTAAGTAGGAGCTAGTTACAAATGCAGAATCTCTGGAGACTCTGAACCTATGGAATCATAATCTGTATCTGTGCAATGTTCCCAAGGGATCCATAGACTCCATTGAGGTGACGATGTTCTGGTTTAGAGCAGGGTTTCACAATGTCACACTGCTGATGTTTCTGTAGATAACTCTGTGCTGAGGGCTAGTGCAGCAAAATCCCTGGCCTTAATCCATTAGAAGCACCACCCACTTGGGATAAACAGAATTCTCCAGTTATTGCCTAGTGTCTATTAGAGACAAAATTGTCCCTGGGTGAGGTCACCTGCATAGAATAAGCAACATCTTGATGGGGTTCCAAGGAAAGCCATTGCAGTTTATCTGGTGTATAACTTTATTTGATTAATTATCCTTCTGAGATCCACATCTGCAAAATGAAGAATGAGGTCATCACAGTATTGACCACTCAGAATGGGCTTTAATCCTTTGATTTCCATTTTTGTTTTAAGAGATGGCACTTGCCATTTTGCCCAGGCTGGTCCTGAATCCTGGGCTCAAGTGGATCCTCCAGCTTCAGCTTCTTAAGTAGCTCAGACAACAGGTGC